AGGGGAATAACAGGGGTTTAATGGACATAAAGAAAATGATTTTGGACTCCTAAATACAATATAGGAAAAACATGAGGATGCAATTTTTGTGTGTGTCCATAGTATATTTGTATGTTTTTTCTGTCAAGGAAAGAATCTACATGTGAGTGCTATTCAGCTGCTTCTGGAGTTCTGTCACATAAGTTGTAGAAATTCCTAATAGGTCAAAGTGTTCAAGCTACCAAGAGCAAAATGTAACCAGCAATTGTGTATTTAAATTCATAGAAGGAATTAAGAGCTATAAACCTCTACATGGAATCAGTGATGAGAATGGGTCACTTTTGTTAAAACTTAGGCCCCATGTACATGGGACACTTATGAATGATGGAAACTGACTGCTGGAAAATGTAGGTTAAAAAACGTTTGTTTAGCCGTGTTTGCATAACGCGTTTACGCGTGTTTATGTGCGTTTGCGTTTAGAAGTGTTTTTTAAATATAAGCAGAGGAGAACCTCCCAAATGCCCAGAATGCACTGAAAAGTGGTAAATTATTAACTATTTCAGACTGTTTCAGAGAAATACAGAGAGTAGAAGCAGAGACAGCAGTATGTGTTGAGATTAGCTTAGGTGTGAGTTGCTCATTAACATTTCTTTTGTTTCCAAGGGTGGAAAAGGTGCCTGGTGGAGTGAGTCATTAAGGCCACCTGCCAGGGGGTCTTCCTGAGGAATTTGAGGTGTGAATGGTCATTAACATATCTTTTGTTTCCAAGGGGCTGAGAGGGCTGAGGTGTGAATTGGTCATTACAATGTGTGACAAGCTTGATAAGAACATCCTGTGTTCAGTGTTTTGTCCATCCGAGTACCTTGAAAATGCTTTGCATGCCTTTTTCATGATGAAAAATGGCTTTGGATAGTATCGGGAACTGGAAGAGTTAAAAAAAACGCTTCAGACGCAAACACTTATAAAAGTCGCATTTACAAGTGTTTTGCATTTGAAACGCTGATAAAATCGACGGCTGAACGCAAGTTCTGCGTTCAAAAAAAAACGACTGTAAACTCAAATGCCTGTAAACGACGATGTGTACATGGACACATAGGAAAACATTATGGTGAGTTCAGGGGCTGCTGAAAAAAATGTTGAACAGCTCCTAAACGTGAGTTTATCAGCTGGAGTGTACATGAGCCCTTTAGGGGCTTATACATGGTTTCATCTTTACGAAAGGTACCACCATGCTTGGGAAAATCCATTGAAAATGAGGCGGGCCCCAGGAAATAATAGCAAAATGTTTTTGCCCCTGGTAGTACTGCTTATAACAACCAAATTTTCCAGCTTTAACTATCAGTGAAGTGTGTGTAGGAGGTGATGGAACAAGCTCCAATTAGGACGAAAGACGTAGGGTGGAACCTGCTGCTGGTGTCATCTTGTACCAGAAGTGACCCAAAGTCATTGCTGTTTGCAGCCTATTGTGGGATCTGAATGCATAGAGTTTTTACCTTATGTAACTGCAATTTTTACGATAAAAAAGTTCCCATGAGTTTTTTTACACTGTGTGAGGAGCATTTGTGTGCTTGTCTCTCCCCTGAATTTGTACTGTTGAAGACCAGAGGTGCGGACTGAGGAAACGCAGATATTTGATGGTGTATGAAGGATGGACGCCTCTTTAAGCCTACATATGTGAAACATGCTATTTATGACTTCTCTTTAAGTAGGGGGTCATGATTATCTGGTATCTCCACGGCTGGATAATATCAGCACCTTTCTTTGGATGAGAAGAAAATTATTTTTATATCACAAGGGACTTATTTCACTTTGTGTGTGTTTTGGGATTACACATACTGAATACTGACCTTTGAGGGTTTATTTGGAGACATTATGTGTGCACATAAGACTGATGGTTATAATTATTTGCATGCCCTGTGATATTTTAACAAATATATTCGCTGTTTAGTGATTGGTAACAGATACTGTGTTTCCAATAGAGTACAAGAGGCCTCACCTCAAGTCTGGTATGCACTTTACTAGGGAATGCAAAGTGGAAAGCACATCTGGAAAAATAACTAATTTTTATGCAGCTGTTCCACACTCCAGAGTTTATTCTATCAAGCTAATGTCTAAACTATTTTGCTGCAAAACTATTAACTTTTAATCATTTGAATATTAGACTACTTGATTATTAGAAAAAACACATTATGGCGGACCTTGATCCATTTACATGACATCCTCTCTCCTGTTTACTCACTGCTCCCTTTTACACTACTGAATATTTTGTTTTCAAAGTAGATGCCTTTTTATATAAATTTTCTCCACTTCCTTCATCCTTACCTAGGCAAGGATGGCATATCTGGCCAACTACGGTCTCCTGAGATTTCTATATCACACATCCTGGGAGTTTTTTTGTGAGCTCTTGTGGAGGTGTAGACACACTGTGGGTCCCTGCCAGATCTATGAGACCTACCTCAGACTCATGGTATGTCTGTGCATATGGGAGCGGCAGATGGTGAACATTACCTGCAAGGAAGACAAGTCTGAACTCTATGGTCTAGTAAATACTTTTTTTTTAATTTTAATACAGGGTTAAATGTTTGGGAAATTACATTTCATTTGGGAATGTAGGGTGAATTACCCATATTAAAGCGTTTGTAAATGTTCTTTATATATATATATATATATATATATATATATTTTTTTTTTTTAATAACACACGTTATACTTACCAGCTCTGTGCAATGGCTTTGCAAACAGCATCCCCGATCCTCCTCTTCTTGGGGCCAGTGCCAGCGCTCCTCCCCCCGTTGAGTGCCCCCAGAGCAAGCCAGCATGCTCCCTACTGAGCCCTGCACTGTGTGTCCATAAGACACACAGAATGGGACTTGGCCACTCCCCCATTCCTCATCACTGGCTCTGACTGACAGCAGCGGAAGCCAATGGCTCCTGCTGCTGTATAGAAGCCAATGAGGAGCAAAAGAGCCAAGAGAAACTAGGCTCTTGTGCAGATCGCTAGATTGAGATTGGGCTTAGGTTTGCATTTAGGGAGCTGCAAGGGAAGCCGCATGCAGGTTTTTTTCTCCATATACATAGAATGAAGTAAAGGTAAAAAAAAAAAAACTTCTGCCTTTACATCCACTTTAACAAATAGCTGTTGTCAGAACATCTGCCATGGCAGAACTTTAAAGGAAAGCTGCTAAAAGCCAGGCCAAAGTGCAGTGATACTTCTCTAGGCATATTCTGCACTTTTTTCATGAAATCTGCAGTATCATGTGACTAAGTGCAGAGGATTTTTAGGTGCACACCACTGCAGTCTGCTCCATTCCTCATCAGGTTCCACAGTTTTGCCATTAAGGATCTTCTCACTGCAATTTGGTTGCCTAAGTGTTAATAATGTGGGGTACTAGGGGAGCTAGTATGAACTTTACATTGTGGAAGTACATTGTGTGGAGTTATAATAATTAAAGAAACCCTGTCACTATACTACATTTTAAATCAAGGCATACCTGTAAAAGAAGAGTATACACACTCTTTCCTGCTTCTTGCACCATTCAACACTGCTTCAATCCTGGGAAATCTGCATGTAAAGCGCACTGAGAAACCAAAACTTCTGAGAGTCTTGACCTCCCAGGTCCTCCACAGCTTTCACAGGTTCCTCTGCCTGACCACCATGCAAATCAGACCACAATAGTGACATGACCTGGTCAGGCAACTGCTATATAGAATAAAAGTTCCTTTGGCAAATAAAACAGCTCATATATATGCTTTTCTATTGTGTTATTAGCAGTTTGCCTGGAGATATGCTTTAAATTTTACTTGTACTTTCCCACTTCCTTTTTTATTCACTATTTGACACTGAAGCTGAACTTCAAACTTCCAAATGGATGAAAAGACCTTATAGAAGACGAGCAACTAATACTGTGTCTTTGCTGAGTGACAGAAATGATAAACCCAGAAAGACTGCAGAACTGCTGGAAAGGTAGAAGGAGAGATCTGTGAGCTCTGTCTCTCAGAATGACCTTCAATAACTCAGAGTCTGTGATTTCCTTCTAACGGAGGTATTTATAAAAATTAGCTGACTGAATGTGACAGGACAAATGTCAGCAGGTTTTGACATTAAAGCAAATCCTGATTTCCCCAACAGTAAGAGGGAACAATGGGTTAAGAGTCAATTTTTCTCTTGCTTTTATTAAAAACGTTAAACAAGACACAAAAGGGAAATCATCGTTGGCTACATTTGGCATCTTCTCTCTATTTAGATGGAAATTGAATTTGAAGTTCCCATAAAACCATTATCTTTAAGCCAATAGCTTGAAGCCAAAAGTCAGCAATTTATTGATACATTTTAGCATTTGCCACAGAAATAATTTATGTCCGTGATAAAGTGTATACAGAGCACTAGTGAGACAATAAAAACCGGGATCCTCAAATAAAGGCCCACCCATAAATCAATGCTCTGGGTATAAACCCTTAATTTTATAGAAGAGACACCAGAGATTGCTAAACTGCACACATAAGTAAACTTTGACCACACTAAAAGATTCAAGACTTGTCATATGAGATTATCTGGTTTAACCACTAGCCTACAGGGCACTTATACCCTCTTCCTGCCCAGGCCAATTTCCAGATTTCAGCGCTGTCACACTTTGAATGACAATTGCGCGGTCATGCAACATTGTACCCATATGAAATTTTTATCATTTTTTTGAGACAGAGCTTTATTTTGGTGGTATTTAATCACCTCTGGGATTTTAATTTTTTCTTAAACAAACCAAAAACCACTGAAAATTTAAAAACAAAAAATGTTTTTTCTTAGTTTTTGTTATACAATTTTGTAAATAAGTGATTTTTCTCCTTCACTGATGTGCGCTAATGAGGCTGCACTGATGGACACTGATAGTTGGCACTGATTGGCACTGATGAGGAGGCACTGGTAGGTTGCACTGATGGGCATTGACAGGCATCACTGATGGGCACTGATAGGCAGCACTGATACATGACAATGATATATGGCACTGATAGGCGGCACTGACTGGCACTGTTAGGCGACACTGACTGGCACTGATGGGTGACACTGATAGGTGGCACTGATTGGCATTGATAGGTGGCACTGACTGGCACTGATGGGTGACACTGAAAGTCAGCTCAGATGGGCACTGATATGTGGCATTGATGTGCACTGGTATGCACTGATATGTGGCATTGATGTGGCACTGATGGGCACTGGCACTGATGAGCACTGACAGGTGGCACTTCTGGGGCCACACTGATCATCAGGGCACACTGATCATCAGTGCCCTGATGATCAGTGTAGATGTTCCCTCCGCGGAAAGCCGATTACCGGCTCTCCTCTCCTGTCGAGCTGTCAGCGTCACAGCTCGAGAGGAGAGAAATGCCGATAACCGGCATTTCCGTGTTTACATGTGATCAACTGTGATTGGACACAGCTGATCACATGACCGAGCTGACATCTTTGGCTCTTTCCGTGCTGCGTGCTCCCTGAGCCGCGCATGCGCAGTGACAATTGTAGGACGTCATATGACGTCCTATCAGAACGAGAGAACCACCTTGCGCCCGTCACTGTACTATAGGGCGGGCAGAAGGTGGTTAAAATACCGGTGTTTATTTTTTTTTTTACTTTATTAGGATTACTACACCAGTGTGAAATGCCAAGATTAGCATGAGCACTGGCGACGTTCATCCTGAAGAAGTATGGTTGAGAGTGCAACACATACGTGCATTTCCTGGATTGTCCTTAGTCTTTGGCATGCACCCTTTAATCTTTCAAACATTTTGTATAGAAAAAAAAATTAACATTATACATATTGAAAACTTTACTAATCCACATACCTTTTGCAATCAACAGCAAACAGGTGATGTAAATACAACCATATGATTGAGAACTGAAAATATGACAAACCCTAATTATAAATGATTGTCTTGCAGTTGATTAATATAACCTCCTAAGACTGACTTCTAAATTCTCCTTCAGATTAATGGATGCGAGAAGGCAGAAATGGATGTGTTTCCTTCAGACAGTTGACCATGTATTTTATTAGGCCATAAGTGATATAAAACATAAGCATAAATTCTACCTATAAACATGGTATGTTCAGGTTTGGAGACTAACAGTTAGGAAATTCCAATTTATGATGCAGTATAATCTGTTTAAAGTGCTGTAATGGAGTTTTACCCAGACTCAGGAAGGATTTACTTCTCTTTTTACTAATTTTCATATATACCATCAAAAAGGATTTACAGGATTTGATTACAGATTTGAAACACACAAGAACGAGCAAAACCATAATAAGCATTCTTGAATCTTAGGTTACATCTTGAGATTGAGTTAGTGACATTGAGTAAATGTATGTTTTTGTAAAAATTTCCAAAAAACCTCAGATACTAATGAAGTTTAATATAACTGATTTTGGTTAAGAAACCCATAAATATCAGACCCTGATTTAATCAGAATCAGGCAATGATCATAATAATTAACCCTCTGCAAACTTCTTCTTTGAGCATATGTGTGAAAACCAAAAGGATCTTTGCCAGGCAAAAGCTATTATTCTCTTGCGATAAATGGTTCCGTAATGGAATGCGAAAATATAACCTGTGAAATTAATAAAGAGGGTTGCAGATACTCAATAGAAAACTGTCTTGCTGTAGTAATTATATTATGGAGTGCTGCACAACATATGTATGATCATAATAACAATAATTCAAAAAAAGTTTTTATGTGGGATGCCTACATTAACTCATAAAAATCATGTATAAATATTTTTCCATTATGTGTCAACAAAAACTATAACCAATATAATAAGTCCAAAATTGTGGAAGTTTGAGGGTTCCACCACTAGTTCCGTAACTATTATTACAAAGAGCCACATTCACCGATTTACCCACTCATTGAGTACCACCACCATTCATTCTGTGCACTCACCTTAACACACAGACCTAATGTAGGTCCCCGTGTGCTTTCCCCTTTAAAGGGTCTTAATTGACCACAAATATCCAGGTACTCCCTCTGGATTTCTCCTCCAATGTTGTCAATGAAATGTCACCCCATCAAGTGTTCCACCATCAATACCACTCAAAAGAAATAGAAACTATACATAGTGTTTTACCGCTTTAAAGAAAATACTAATGTTTATCAAGACTCACTAAAATACACAAACAATATTAGTGCAATAATTTGCAGTAGTGCACCATCCTAAAAGCGGATATTTACATATATAGGTACATGCCCCTTGTTGGAAGGCAACATGTTTCTATATCAGACATTTCTGAATTTTTACTGCCTAGTTAACAAAGGGCCATTTGACCTGTTGGATGTCCTCTTGGAATGTCAGTAAAACAAGATTATATAACAGGGTGTGTGTAAAAAAAGATTGCATTCCAAAATCTTGATACAGGGAGTTCACGCACACCCCCTAGCGGTGTAATTTCCTGGTGATGTAAAGACTGATTGCATGGCTTCTAGCAAGGAGAAACCAGATGTGGCCTTTAATGTTGACCTGGGTCAAGGCATTTTGATTGCAGGGTGCCACTGTCTCCTAATGGAAGACAGCAACATACTTCCTGGAGGATGGCTGGGGTAAAACCATACCTCCTAGTGATTAGGGAGGACAAACCCTTGTAAATTATGGATTATCGCTCATTGGACAGAGGACTACACAGGGTGGGCAGAGGGAGTTCATGTGGGTTGTATCTGTGAGTGCTTTAAAATGCAAGGCCCAGCCATGCTTTCTCCCTCTTTCTATCCAGAGCCCAGCTAAAAGATACTCAACTTCGAGGACGAACTTACATAAAGTATCATCTCTGCTCTTTTGTGTCTATATATATTCTGTAATATGCAGTTAGATTATTATGTTAGTGTTTAACCTTTTTGTAAATAAATAAGGCCTTTGCTTCTTTGAGCATTGTGTTTTATTATTATAGCTAATATTAGAATATATTACAACCATCAATATTGTCAGAGCTTAGATATACTAGCTAATTATAAGTACCGACAAGTTAGTAAATTTTTTTAATATAATTAGGGGGAAACCACCCCCTATTTATTTCACACCTTAAGAGTAAGACTACAGCATTACCAGTCTGGTATATCTGGGCTGCTCCATCCAGGTGGCATAAGGACGTAATTAAGCTCTGCCCTGATGAATTTTGCCACTTTTGGTGACATCTTCCAAGGAACTGAAATGCCCCAGATGGCACAACTTACAACAGACTCATGTATGTGCCAGTAAGGCGATTAAAAAGAATTACAGAATTGCTTCAAAGACGTGGCACAATTTACTCCAAAAGGGATAAGTCTTTTTTACCTCCACTTTCCTTATCACGGATACGGCAGCACTTATTTATGAATGTGTCACAATAGCAACAGACAGTGTGCTATATATATATATATATATATATATATATACACACATACATACATATATACACATACATACACACCGGTATATATATATATATATATATATATACACACACACAATCTGGCCGTACCGTACTGAAAACATGTGACTTACAGAATTACCACTCCTATGGAGGTAAAACACTAAACATTTATGTATTTCAAATTAGTATTTTTGCAGTTTACTTGAAAGTTTTTCCTGGAGCTGTGCTTTAAAGTGTAAATGAAGCAAGGATAAGGCTTGGCAGGTCTTGCCATAATAGAAAAGTATAAACAGCGTACTTGCATATTATAGCAGACTTACCTCTGGGTTTTCCCTTCACCAAAGATGAGAGCTTTAGCCCATATGGAAGAAAAAATATATCTTAAATCTATTTTAAAAATATTCTTCCCAAATATATTGACATATATTTGAAATGCTACAATTGTGGCCATATTCAGTATATTTCAATATATATATTGTTGAAATGCATTTTTTACTTATTACAAAATATATAAAAAATATTTGTAAAAGTATATTCTTTTTAAAATCTACTATTCAGATTTTTTTAACATATAAAAAAGTAATTTTAACATATATTTGTAAATGCATTCTAAAAATGTAGATTTGTATTTTTAAAGACATACAGTATATTTGAAATGTATTTTTAAAAATATTTTTCAGATATTTTGTAATAAAATGCAATTTAACATGCAGTTTATATATATATATATATATATATATATATATATATTGACATATATTGGCCAAATATGGCCAAAATTGCAGCATTTCAAATATATGTCAATATATTTGGGAAAGATATTTTTAAAATATATTTTTCTTGTGGGAATAGCCTCAGTGCTTGTCTGTTGATTCTTCTGACCAGTTGTCTCCTCTATTCGCTCACTGATGATATCACTCCTGCACATGCATACTGGATTCACATCATCCCAGTATTCTGCTCCATTTTTTAAGATCTTACACTGCAGCATATACACCTACAAGGATTCTGTCGTGCTTTATTTTAACCCCATAAGATGCAATTATTACATTAGAACAGATAAGGGAAAATAAAACATAGAAAAGCATAATTTTGACATTAAAAAAAACTGCAAGACACTGCTTTGTCCCATAAAAAGTGCAAATGACCCCTCTTGTGCTTCAGTAGAATACACATATTGCAATACTTTACAAAAATGACAATACAGATATAAGCATTTCAGGAGATTACAACTTCCGAAACAAATATGAATACATTAAATTTCCCATTTTCAAACAAAACGCAAGAGGTTCCTTATTTTAGGCCTAGCTTTGACAGTTTTGTGAATTTCAAGGATTTTGTTAGCCTTCATATGCTTCACCAGAGAACACAAACAAAATAAATATGTACTTGTCCTTCCTGATCTTTGGATTTCAGTAGAACTGACCCCCTTGGGCACTTGCTCAACAGTTTTACAAGTCATGTGTACTTTTCTTCTTGCACCAAAGTCTGTTTTTATTAAAAAGCCTCCAGACAAAATAACACCTACATGGTTATGAGTTCTTGATAAATTACCAGTGTGACAGCCATAACCTTCTTGTATTCTCTGCATCTACTGTAATACGCTGAAAAAATTCTCATGACATAATAATTGAAAAGTGTAACACAGCTCATTACTAGTGTGAGCATTTTTGCTGCATCCACTGGGAAATAAGGCATCAGAAAGAAAGCAGGAACAGGGGAGATTAAAGAAAGACCTGCACATCAGTAAAAAGGGAAACTGGATGTACCTTTCAATAAGTAAAAACAATGCTAATGAATGAGCCTTCAAATGGTTTGTCAATCACAGCCACATATGTAGCTATGTATTTCTTTTGAGCAGTTTAAAACGGACAAACTTAGCTACATTTTCCCGTGAAACCATTACTGTACTTGAAAACGTTCTCTGCAACAATTGCAAATGCATTGATATTCACTAGATGGATATGCTGCTCATGAGTTTGATGCAAAAACATTGAAAATCTCACTAATACATAAACGTAATGGATGGTCAAAATCTTCCTTTTGTGAAGTTACCTGTGATAACAATTCACTTTAAACTGCATTCATGCTTTATAGAATTTAAGTTGCCTTGCGTACATGTAAATG